AAATCTTAAAAAAAAAAAAAAAAAAAAAAAGTTGCAGAGTAGCAGCCCCAGAGTCACATTTGTCCTTAGATGTGTTTTATGATGTATGGTATTTATCTGAAACAGAGTTGCCAACATTTAAACCCTGGGCAGCGTTCTTGACTCTGTGGATTTTCTCTCGGAAGACCCAGCAGACCCAGCTCCCAGGGCCTTATTCCTGCATGGCCACAATCAGCAGGAGTGGAGTGGTGGCCGCCCTAGTTATGTGGGACACACTTGCCAGCCTACCACCATCTCTGCCTCTCTCGGTTGCCTCTTCAACATTCAGACTCACTCGCCTAGCCCTAATGTGAAATCCCTGCATGACAGTCCTCATCCGCTCTGAGATTCTTTGGTTCTGTGCATTAACAGGCCCAAGCTCAAAAATTCTGCCCACCCCCGCCCTGATTCTTGAAAGTAGTGTTCTCACATACCACTAGAGTCTGGAATCAGAAAGATCTAGATTTAAGCCTTGCAGTTCTAGTGGGTTTCTGGCTGCTCTTCCTCACGGGGCTTGTTTCCTCCTCTAGAAACCGGGATGGCAGTACCTACCTGATGAGCTATTGTGAAGATTATTTCCCAGCACAGATCCTTTGACCCAGGGCCGTGAAAGCCAGGGCTGGACTTCATTTGTCTTCTGCCAGGCCTCCTTCCTAAACTGGGTTTGTTTTTTCATTCTGGCCTTTGCAGGAAGTGGAGCCCATGGCCATGGAGTGTGACCACATCCAGATCACAGCCCTGTCTCAGGCACTGAACATCGCCCTGCAGGTGGAGTATGTGGATGAGATGGACACGGCCCTGAACCACCACGTGTTCCCCGAGGCTGCCACCCCTTCCGTTTACCTGCTCTATAAAACATCCCACTACAACATCCTTTATGCAGCCGATAAACATTGATTAATTTTAGGCCATGCAGTGGAGCCTGTCACCTAACGGGACTGCATTCTAAATGGAACATTCTGGCTTTTCAATTTTTTAAGCAACTTAAACTATAGTTAGAAAATGTACAGCCTTTTGGGCAAAGTCACTGGGAAGGAGGCCTACCCATTATGGACTGTGGTAACTTAGTGATATTGTTAGTATTTATTTTCATGGAGGATCAAATGCTTTCTAACTCAGGGCTACAAAGCCAGAGAAAGAGTTAGAAAGCCAACTGCTCCCAGTTCCCTGAGACCCTGGGCAGGTCACCTCCCCTCTCTGGGCCCATTTCTTCATCTAGAGAAGATTCCTGCCAGTGCTGACATTCTGTTGTCATATAAAAAATAGGGCCCTCTGGTTTCCTTTCTGTGCCTCTCTGCTGGGGAGGAAAAGCTCAAGGTCACAGGTCTTCAGTGACTTCCCAGTTCTACAAAAATAGAATCCAGTCCAATCAGCTGTTAGACTGGACTTTGGTAGATGGCTGACGGAAGCACTGGCCAGTTAGCCAATGTGAGGGCTTCAGCGTGGTTCCAAACATTCACCATGGGAGTGTTTTCTTACCCTAAGCTAAAGAGGAAAAAGAGACTTTTATGCCAAAGTCTAAAAAGGGGCCTTCAGCATAAAGCTCGGGTTGTTGTGGCCCTCTCTCCCTCTCTCAGGGCCAGACCTGCTTGCCTTTGGCAGGCGCTTCAGGATTCTGCTGCTAGCCCCACCTGAACAGAGGCTCAAGAAAGGCTGGGGTCTGGGACCAGGAAGCTATCTCTCCATCCCCAACACAGCCTAGAATGAGAATCTAGGTAATCCTCCAGGTGGAGACAACAGTACATGCAGCCAGACTCCAGCTGCGCAGGGCAGACAAATTTTGCAAGGTGGTATGTGGCTTCTTTCCCTTTTTCCCCTTCTGCTCGGTTTTGTGGGCTGGCAGGAAGTTAGGTGGGAAAGAACACAGACAAGCCCAGGAAACCGGCAGCAAGGGAGATCTCTGTTGCAAAAACTGCTTAGAAGTCAAGAGCCCTGGCTGGCAGCCTCCTCGTTCATCCACCTGGACATGCCCCTTCGTAACCTTGTCACCTTGCTGCCCCCAGGACCTTGAAGAGCCTCGGTTATCTCGGGTACTGCTAGCAAGTTCTCTTCCTCTGTGGGAGGAAATGGAGACTGTAGAAGTGTGGAACTGCCCATGGGTGACTTCCCTAACCCAAGGCGTTTTCTCACAGGTTACATTCTGTGGAGATTTATGAGCATCCACCCTGCAGGTCAGCTGCCAGCCAGGCTGTGTACAGGGACTGGGCAGCAGATTGCTGAGGCCTTGTATACAAACAGCAGATTTGTATCATTCTTCTGCCTTTGTGAAGACAGACGTTAGGGTGCTTTAATGCCAGGCAGGGATCCAGATTCCCCTACTGCCCTCAGCTGGAGCTTAAACCCAAGGGCTCATACAAAGTGATCAGTCACTTTTCCACAGGAATGTAAACCTGACCTTGATCTCTGAACTGGTGATGTCCCACCCTGCTCTGGGTAGGAGTGCTAGGATCTGTGACAAATATACTGGAAGAAGAGAGGAAATGTTATGTGACTTGTGACTATCTCAAACCAAAGGGTATGAACACAGCACTGGGCTGAATGCCCGTGGCCACTCCGAGGGGCTGCGGGATGGCCTGCGCCTCCGGCTGGGCTCTCACACACGCATAAGCGGCAGCTGCCACTTCTTGGCATGTCCACAAAAGCAGAGATTTCGCTTTGGCAGCCTGGCTGGAGAAATTCCCTCTCAGGCTTCCCATGCTGTGCTTCCAGGTCTGAGAGCCCACCAGTGCTCATATGGGACCCTCTTCCAAGGACAGATCCTATCAGTTTAGAATCAGAATGCCACAGACAGGCAAATTATTCTCATGTTCTTACAATGTGCTTCCCCCTTTCCTCCACAAAACCACTGGTCCATTCCATGCTCTCTGCCTTCTCATCTGCCCTCAGATGGTCTGAGAGCAAGCACCAATGCCGAAAAGGGAGTGGCAGACTTCAGGAACTTGTTTAAATCCAGCCATCTGGGGAGGTTAACTTTGCTTGTCTATGGCAGCCAATTATGCTGGCATTTACACTTCCTGGATAATTCTCTACCCACCTCACCAAGCCATCTCTGTCCAGACCAAAAGGGGGCAGGAGAGTTGCTTTGACAGTCTGTCTTTATAACTGCATATTTATTATTTTCCTTCCAAAGGGAACTTTATAAATGGGAATGTTTAGCAACAAAAAGAACAAACGACAGTCCTTGCTTTTGACTGGGTTCCTATTTTATGCACAAAGGGGTTCTGGAGCCAGACCTGCCTGGGTCTGAATCCTCCCTTTTCACTTACTAGCTCTTGACCAAGAACTTCACCTCTGAGCCCTAATTCCCATATCAGTGAAATGAAGACAATACCTATGCAGCACAAGGTCACTGGTTAAAGTGGAATAAGAGTATGTATGAGATCTGACAGCCAGTGCTCTACAAGCGAGGAAGCAGCAGAACATTTGCTGCAATGTGGGCAAACACCTCTTTGGCAGGGACTCTGGCTTCCCAAATGGGGAAGTGTCAGGCGCCATTAGACAAGTCTAAGAACCATTCTCACACTGTGCAAAATGGGGGCAGGAGCTGTGGCTCAGTGAGCAGCTGCCCAGGGTTGGGGCGGGGGGGGGCGGGGTGTGTGGGCAGGCCCTACAGCTTCTCCCGGCAGTTGGTGGAAACATTTTCCTAGCATTAAAATGGTTTCCATGACAACTTTTATCCTGGTTTCTTAGTATGTGGTATCTGACATGCACTGAAGATCAACATTCTCCCATAGGGCTATGTGTCTGAGTTGATTAGCAGGAGAGAGCGGGTTCTCCTTTAATGGAAGATCCATATACTCAGCAAGTTCTGCCCTTGGGCTGGAGATGCCAAGAAACTACAGGATTCACCAAAGCTTTACGTCATCAAGTCAAAGAACAGAACTGCCTGGGATGCTAACCTTATCTTTTAAAACCGACTCCCCTTAACATACTACCCCACAAAAAAAATAAATAAATAAAAAATAAGAGCATTTGCTGTTAAGGGACAGGGCAACATGTCAACAGACATCGGTGGGTCTGTTTGGCCTGTGACCAGTAGCCTCAGGCCTCTCAAGACTCAGGTGCCACCAAGTCTCCTTAGGGCTGCTCAAACCACCACTGTATCATGTGGATAATGGTGAGTCCCCTGCCATCCTCCACCAACTGTCACCCAAGAACTGATCTCACAGACTAGGATTATTTTCTACTGCATTCTCCTCTCTGGGTCACTGGTGACCCTGGGGAGACATTCCTTAACAACACTGCTGTCAAGACTGAAGCAGTTTTCTGAACATGCCCACAAGGAAATATCCACGGTTTTAATCCCAGGTCTGCCATTCGGCCGCTCTGTGATCTGAGCAAGTTTAAACCACTCAGTGTCGCCTTCTCAACTACAAAAAGGTATTAAGACTTGCATCTCAGATGCTTGTTAGAAACCAAATGACAGGGATGCCTGGGTGGCTCAGTTGGTTAAGGGTCTGCCTCTGGCTCAGGTCATGATCCCAGGGTCCCGGCATTGAGTCCCGCATCGGGCTCCCTGCTCGGCAGGGAGCCTTCACCCTCTGCCTGCCCCTCCCTCTACTTGTACTCTCTAACAAATAATTAAAATCTTAAAAAAGAAAACCAAATGATAAAGTAGATGAAAGTGCCTAACAGTGCTTGGTACAGCACTCAAGGACACCTGACTCTGAGTTTAGTCCAGCTGTCCTACTGTAGTTACCCAGAGGGGCTGAGGGAACACTGCTGCCATCCTGCCAACCTGTCAACCATGAAACCGAGGGGACATGTGTTTAGAAGTCCAGACGTAGCTGTGAATAAATCTATGCTTCTCTGGCAATTGCGGCTCCTCACCTAGACTAACCTAGAGAAAGCTGGGGGGGTGGGGCACACACACTAAGAAGTCACTGGTTCCCTCAGCACCTATTAACATCATGCCCTGGCCTAAGCCAAGGGCTGCAAGGCATAATAAAGCAGCCTATGCTGTCAAGGAGCTTAACAGAGACAATACAGTGTGCCTGGGCCAAGTGCTACTGAGAGGGTAAGCACAGCTACTATGGACACTGCCCTCCTGGGGGCTCAGGGACCTAGAGAACACATAGCCTTGCTCAAGGATGGGGAAAAAGGCAAGCAGGTGGAGGGAAAAGCTTGTATAAAGGCTCAGGACAAGAGAAAGGGCGCGTGGGACTGTGGGCAACAACCACTTCAGGACAGAGGAGGGGAGGGGAGACAAGGCTGGAGGGCCTACGATGCCAGACTCTGCATACCTGTTACTGGCTTCCCCACAAATGGCTGTGATGTTAAGGAAGCCTGTGTTTTCTTGGAACCCAAGGATGGCAACCTCTTCCCTGCCCATCTTGCAGTGTGGCTCAGATAAGAGAATGTCAATGGTAGAGAGCTAAAGAGCTATTAGGGTTCTGCTGTGGAGAAAAGCAGGAACACAAGCTAAGACTACTGCTCCATCCACACTATCCAATGGGATGAAACACACCCCACATGCATCCTGCAACCAGAGGATTAGGACAGCTATATTCTGGCTAAAAACTCAGGATAACATGCTGGTTCTGACTACTTTTAATTGACGAAAACAAGCTGAACATATAAGAAGCCTATACATACTGGAATACAGAAGTACATAAGCCGCTGAATATAATTCCTACTCCAAAACAACACAAATGTGCATGAGGTCTCTCTTGCGATTCGGGCTGGCATGGAAGAGGGAGATTTTTATAACCAGGGTTGATAGTAGAGTGAAAAGGAAAGTGGGAAGTTTTTCCACATAACCAGAGAACACAGAAACAATGTGCAGTCACTAACAGACTGACCTGGAGTGCAGTTAATTTGCACTTGTACTTGGCTGTGGTTGTTCCTGCTGCTGCTCTTTTGGCGGCTTCTTCTGCTTCTTCTTCTGTTTGGTGAGGCAGCTCAAGGCCGACTCACTGTTTCTTGGGGTAGACATGAGCGTGGGCAGCTTGCCAGACTGAGTTGGATACTTTGTTTTCAGGTCCTCTTTGAACAATGGCTGGGAGAGTAATTGGCGCAGCTCCTTCTTCAGGACCTTCATCTGCTTTTGTCTCCTACGCTCTTCTTGGTCAGTTTTTCTTCCTTAAGAAACAATATAAAACAGACCATATTCACTATGATTTGTAGAAACTTTGCTTCCCTTGATGGATACTTGTGACAAAAAATGTTTTGGTACTCTTGAGGAATCAAAGCTCAAAAGTCTCTATAGAAGTTAGTATTGGCTAACTTCTAACATAGTTGGGGAGGGATACTCAGGCATTATATCCTTCATTCCTCAAAAAAAAAAAAAAAGCCTCTAAGACAGGAATTACCTCCATTTTACTCGAAGGCACATGCTGCAGGTCATAGAGCTAGCTAGCTAGTTGTCAAACTGAGATTTGAACCCAAGGTTCCTGACTTGAAGATCAGTTTCTTCCTATGACCCACCCACTTGCTACTTGCTAGCTGGGGTACGGTGAGTCGACAGGTACAAAGACCCCAGGAGACTGTGAACACCATCTGGCAGCCCAGCTCTTCTAAACCTCCCCACCAGCACTGTGACTGCACCTGTGGAGGTGGGCACAGCCAAAGGGCCCCACACCAGCCCCCCAAGTCTGAGCTATCAGGAACAGCTTATTGTCACCAAGCCCACTGGTTTGGTTCCCAGCTTCCATGTTGAACACACAGCTTGTCAGCCTCTGAATTTGTTGGCTTTGGCAGTGAGATGCCAACACCTCAGCTGGGCTGCCCACTATGGGATGGAAAGAACACCGGATCGACTCTGGTGTCATTGGTTCTAGATCTGGTTCTTCCACTTCTTAAGACTCAAGAGCCTTCCTAGAGCAGGGACCACACAGATCCAGGTTCAGAGTAGGGGCTCAGGGGATGCCTGGGTGGCTCAGTCGGTTAAGCATCTGCCTTCGGCTCAGGTCATGATCCCAGGGTCCTGGGATCGAGTCCCGCATCAGGCTCCCTGCTCGGCGGGGAGCCTGCTTCTCCCTCTGCCTCTCTCTCTCTCATGAATAAATAAATAAAATTAAAAAAAAAAAAAAAAGAGTAGGGGCTCACAAAAGGCCTGGTAATGGAGCTATTTCCCTACACAAACCGCTTCTCTTCCATGAGCCTCTAATTTCCATATGTAAAAGGATGATAATTCCTGCTCTGTTTATGGGGCGCCTGGGTGGCTCAGTCGTTAAGCATCTGCCTTCGGCTCAGGTCTTGATCCCAGGAATCTGGGATCAAACCCTGCATCGGGCTCCCTGCTTGACGGGAAGTCTGCTTCTCCCTCTCCCACTCCCCCTGCTTGTGTTCCCTCTCTCGCTCTCTGTCAAATAAATAAATAAAATATTTAAAAAAAAAAAAATTTCTGCTCTGTTTATGTAATGAGACCATGGAAGTCAGATGAGATGATGAGTGGTGTAGTAGTAACAATAATCATAAATAATAAATTAAAATGTATGAAATCCTTTCTATTTGCCAGGCACTGATAAAGGCACTTTATATTCATCAATTCAAGCCATCTTTTGCAATAACCCCATGAGGTAGGAACATTATGACCTGCATCTTATAAATGATAACAGCCTAGGTACAAAAGAGAGATTAAAGACCTTGACCTGGTCATACAGCCAGTTAAGGGAATGGACCAGCATGGCCCCGGGCTGCAAAGCCTACCCCCTGATGTCACATGAGGGAGGCAGCCGAAGGCTCCCGACAAATAAGACAGAGGGAACAAAGGCCAAGGACTGTAGGCTCATCTGGGACTAAGGCCTCTCGCAAAGAAGGAAATCTTTAGTGATTTTAACAGGACCCACGGTAGTGGCGAAGTTCCAACAAGACAAAAGTTGAAGGAAAAAACAAATGAAAAATGCTGAATGTATTCTTCAAGTCCCATCCAGTCCACTCACCCTTATACATGTCTTCTTCCAGCTCAATCTCAAGGGCAGCTGCTGCCTGTTCAATCCAAGAGTTGTGCAGACAAGCCTGGAAGTTCCGATACTCCGCTTTCTCAATCTGTCGAGCTAAATGGATTCGTTCCTGGGGGAAAGGAATAGAGTGTTCATTTGACAGCATTCAGGCCTCTGGGAAGCAAAGGCTCATATAAGTTGTGTCTTTAAAAAAACCTCTTGGGCGCCTGGGTGGCTCAGTTGGTTAAGTGACTGCCTTCAGTTCAGGTCATGATCCTGGAGTCCTGGGATCGAGTCCCACATCAGGCTCCCGGCTCAGCGGGGAACCTGCTTCTCCCTCTGACCCTTTCCCCTCTCATGCTGTTTCTCTCTCTCTCTCAAATAAATAAATATCTTTAATAAATAAATAAATAAATAAATAAATAAATAAAACCTCTTGAGGGGCGTCTGGGTGGCTCAGTCGTTGGGCGTCTGCCTTCGGCTCAGGTCATGATCCCAGGGTCCTGGGATCGAGCCCCACATCGGGCTCCCTGCTCCACGGGAGGCCTGCTTCTCCCTCTCCCACTCCCCCTGCTTGTGTTCCCGCTCTGGCTGTCTCTCTCTGTCAAATAAATAAACAAAATCTTAAAAATAAATAAATAAAATAAAATAAAACCCCAAACGTAGAATTACTGGCATTTGCTTCAGGAATGTGAAAAAGGTTTAGTATCTGCCTCAGCAAGACAAGTTGACCTCACTTCCCTACAACCACTGGATGTCCAGGAAGCCACACTCACTGTCCTTTTCCAGTGGAGGAAGAAGGTAGTAGTGGAAGCTCCAGGGGCAGGCAGTGCAGAAAGGGTTCAAGAAGAAAATTCCTGTTTTTGACCACTCAGCTTTCTCCCTTCTACCACGTATAGTACCCCCATTCCTTTTTCTTTCTTTTTTTGTTTTTTAACGAATCTTCCTATTTAAATAGCTATTGGCAGAACTAGAGCCTCACAGCAAGGTGAAGGTGCAGCACAATCCCTTCCCTCATTAGTACCAGATTTTTAACTTTTCTTTTTACCTTGACCGCGTCCATGTACTTTGTCTGCACAGGAAACAGTGGAATGTCCTCATCTTTCTTGAGGGTTTTGTAAATCTTCTTAAAGTTGATCACATCCTCAGGCCCAATCAGCATCAGGCTGAGACCTTCATTAGTGGCACGAGCTGTTCGACCACTTCGGTGGACATAGATCTCCGAGGTGCGAGGGACCTGCCAGAGGAACCAAGAAGTCAACACGTGGTTATCACCCAACAGTGTTCTTCCCTCAGGGCCAGCTTCCCCGAGCCAGACAGTTAGAATCCAGCCCTTTTCCTTAGTCCTAATTCTTTAGCCCATTCACTGTGCAGCGTCTGCCCTCCCACACCCCGTGCCCTGGTTTCAGGCCCTCATGACCACTCAACAGAACAACAGTCACTTATTTCGTCTCTAGTCTCTCCCACTCCCCTTGACCCAGCCCAGAGCTGCCATTGCAATCTTCCCGAGTCAAAGCTCTGACCTTAATTCCCACTCTAACTAAAGAAACTCCACTGATTCTTCATTAACTCTATATGAATGATTGAACATGATAATTATAACCAACATTTACTGAGTGATTACAATGGGCCAGGCAATTCCAAGCACTCTGCATGTAGTACCTCACTTATTCCTCACAAACAATAACATGAAGTGCTTTCATGATTACCCATATTACAGACAAGGAAACTGACACACAGAAATCTTAAGCAATTCCCTCTAGGTGGAGGAACTAAATAGTGGAGCCAAGATTCGAACTGAAGCAGTCAAGCTGCAAAGACCACACTAACCCCTAGGCTCCGTTGCTTCTACTCTAATACATACTGGATATATTATCCATACGTGTGGCCTGGGTGCTGACAATCCCTCCCTCCCTGTACCCAGGGCCCACACCACGAATCCAGAACAGTCTTCTCCACTGAGCCCAGGTTAACACTACCACTTCCAATGCAGCACTAACTACTTAGCTGTTCATAATGGTGCTAGAAATGCGGTCTAATGGCCATTTTTCACTTTCTTCTCCCAACATAAGCCCCCACTTGCAGCCAACGCTTCCACACATTCTCTCCTCCTTCCCTTCCACCTCTACATGCCCAGATCCTCCCCATCCTTAAATGCAAAGCATCTTTTAGAAAGCCCTTTCCAACCTCCCAAACTAGAAGTTACCACTCTCTCCCATTATATTTTGCAACATTCTAATATTTTCTGCCTTAAATTATGGCTGTTGGTCTCACCTCCTTTAGTTGGTCTGATACTTCTCAGGGGCTAGGACTGTATTTTGTTCATCTGGATCTCTCCCACAAAGACTGGCCCAGCCCCTTCCCCACGAAGAGAAGAAAGATTTGCTAAACTGAACTGGCACCCTGAAAGATTTTTTTAAAGATTTATTTATTTGAGAGACAGAGAGAGTGAGTGCACGTGGGGGTTGGGGCAGAAGGAGAGAATCCTCAAGCAGACTCCCCACTGAGCTCAGGCCCCACACTGGGCTTGGTCTCATGACCCACAAGATCATGACCTGAGCTGAAACAAAGAGTTGGACGCTCAACTGACTGAGCCACCCAGGTGCCCCTACACCCTGAAAGATTTTTTAAAGCATGACGGATTAGAAAGGAAAAATAATAACGCCAGAATAGCTACCACTTTATACTTAACGCTGCGCTGTACCAGGGGTTTCATCAGCAGGAGCTCATTTAATTCTCATGGTAACCCTAAGGGTTAGGCAGCACCATCACTCCCAGTTTACCATGACACAAAAACCAGAGATGTTAAGTAACATGCCCAAAGCTAACCAACTATGAAGCAGGCCACAAGCATCTGAACCCTGCAAGGGTGGCTCTGAAGCCTAACCACCACTCTATGCTAGGATTTACCAGGTGTGTGCACTAATATTAATGTCAGTATCAACAGCAGCTCACATTTAGTAAGTGCTCAGGATAAGCCCTGTGTCTTTCTAATTCTTCACACATAAGAACTTATTTTACCTTAATAAAAACTTAAAGAAGATACTCTGCTAACTTCCATCTAACAAAAACACTGAGGCAGAAAGAGATTAAACAGCTTGCTCAAGCTTACACAGCTGGGATTTAAGCCCTGGCAGGTCCTAACCACCACACTCTCCTACTTCTCTACACCAGGGTAACCAGTTTACATGCTACTATGCCCATTCCATGGAAGAAAATAGGACTCTAACCTGCCAACATCAATGAGTTTGCCCAAATCAAAGAGAAGGGCTAAGTGATATCAGAAGTGCCAATAGGTTTTCTGCGAATAAATCTCATGAGTGTTCCAAACATGGCAGCAGCTAGTCAGTCACTAGATGCCAGTGGTACTCTGCTGCATGAGGCCTTGGGACTAACAATTCTTCTCTCTCTCTTTCCTCCCTCCCCAAACTTTGCTGAAAAAATTCCCCATTCGATGCAACAAATTCCTTAATTCCCCTACCTGGTAATGGATGACATGTTGGACTCTGGGAACATCCAGGCCCCGCGCCGCCACATCAGTTGCCAGGAGAACACAGCTGCGGGAGAGAGAGAGCGAGAGACAAGCCCGTCAAGAACAACCTACAGCTGTCCGTGAGCAGCTCCTTGCTGCCTGCTGAGTACGCTCGGAGAGGTTAACTTCCCAAGGCACCAACATGGCTCCTCACTTGTGGAGCTGGGATCCAAAGCTGCGTCTCACTGACCACAGTCAACAAGCCACACTCTGCAATCATAAAAGACCACCTCCAGTAAAGTAAATGAGGCCATATTCTAGGTCAGTGACCTCATCATCTATCACCCTCCCACTCACTTCCCTCAGGTCCCACAGACATCCTTGATTTCTTTCTAATTTGCCAAACATGGTCTGGCCTCCAAGCCTCTGCACTTGCTACACCATAGGCCTTACAAAGTCTTCCCCAGACATTCAGGTTTCCTTGCTTTGCCCACACTCCGCTGTAACCTCTCCCTCTCAGGGAAACCTCCCTGACCCCACTTTTGTACAACTCCCTGCACAACTTTACTCCTCAGCACTCAGCACCACTTGACAAACTACATTAATTGCTTTTAATTTATGATCTCCCTCCACTGGAATGTAAACCCTGTAACAAGGGCTTTGCATTACTCAGTGTTCTATTACCTAGAACAGTGCCTGGCTCCCAGTAAGCACTCAATAATTTCACTGGGTAGAATGTTTTTTTTTTGTTTTGTTTTGTTTTTTTTACGTTTTTTTTAAAATTTTTATTGTTACGTTAATCACCACATATTACATCATTAGTTTTTGGTGCAGTGTTCCATGATTCATTGTTTGTTCATAACACCCAGTGCTCCATGCAGAACGTGCCCTCCTCAATACCCATCACCAGGATAACCCATCCCCCTCCCCCCTCCCCTCTAGAACCCTCAGTTTGTTTTTCAGAGTCCATCATCTCTCATGGTTCGTCTCCCCCTCTGACATACTCCCCTTTTCTTCCTCTCCTGTTATCTTCTTTTCTTTTTTCTTAAAATATGTTGCGTTATTTGTTTCAGAAGTACAGATCTGTGATTCAACAGTCTTGCACAATTCACAGCGCTCACCGTAGCACATACCCTCCCCAATGTCTATCACCCAGCCACCCCATCCCTCCCACCCCCAACCACTCCAGTAACACTCAGTTTGTTTCCTGAGATTAAGAATTCCTCATATCAGTGAGGTCATGTGATACATGTCTTTCTGATTGACTTATTTCACTCAGCATAACACCCTCCAGTTCCATCCACGTCGTTGCAAATGGCAAGATCTCATTCCTTTTGATGGCAGCATAATATTCCATTGTGTATATATACCACATCTTCTTTATCCATTCATCTGTCGATGGACATCTTGGCTCTTTCCACAGTTTGGCTATTGTGGACATTGCTGCTATAAACATTGGGGTACACGTACCCCTTCGGGTCCCTACATTTGTATCTTTGGGGTAAATTGGGTAGAATGTTTCTTAATGTACGTGTAGTTCAAGGAAAGTCAAAAGCACCTGATCTATGTCTTAAAAACTTAAAGACTCTGGGCTCTTCAGAATCCCTGCTCCCTGTACTTCTAAGGTAGGGCTGGGGAATATGATGCAAATTGAACCACTAGTTTAAGTCAAAGGCAGTGAACTTTTTCTATAAAGGGCCAGACCATAAATTATTTTGGGGCTTTGCAGGTGATAGTGTCTGTTGAAACTACTCAACTCTGCTACTGCCAAAGTAGCCATAGACAACACATAAATGGGCCTTGCTGACTTCCAATAAAACTACTTGATTTAGCCCATGGGCCATAGTTTCCCAATCCCTGATCGAATAGGATGTAGAGGCCACTTTCAGGCAAACAGACTTGAGGAACGTAGAAAGAAAGGACACACAGCTACCATCTGGCCGAATATAGACACACCCATCAGGCGACCCACCTCAAAATACCCATAGGCCCTAACTGACCAATAGGCTACTTACAACTAGGCACAGTTACCAAAAAAGGGAGAATTCCGTACATGGCCATACCTCATCTTCCCCCTTTAAAAACAGCCCCATCCACCGTCTGCAATGTGCAGACAGCCTCTCCTCTGCTGTCCTGCTTGCCCACTCCCTTGTGGCTCCTTTGTTCTGCCTCAGGTGAATTCTTTCAACGCCAGCGCCTTGGCTTCCACCCGATTGTTGCCCCACATTTAGGGGACTCCATCCAATCAGACAGACACCCCACTTAGACACCATATAAACTGCTAACTTCTACCTAGCAATAATCCAACGGAGGTAAACCAGACACTTGTTCTAGAAACTAATCACTCTAACCTGACAAAACACTGGGCAAAAGTCAATCTAGACTTGACCTCAACTTCTCAGGCCCTTATCCTGACAATATGCACAACTGCTGCCTGAGCATCAGTCTGGCCCAAAAGGAGATGCACAGTGACAGCATGGTAAGCATGAGCTCTGGGTCTGACCGGTTTGTCGAAGGCCCAGCTTTGTCACTTTCAGGATGAGAAACCCTGGGCAGGCTGATTAGCTTCTCTAGATCTTACTTTTATCAATCTATAAAATAATAATGAAAATAAATGAAAACTGGTATTAAAACTAACACTTAGCAAGTACATACCATAGGCTAAGCATTTGTTCTAAATGCTTTATATGTATAAATTCCCTTAATCTTCCTAACAACCCTCTCCATTAGCTATTATTCTACTATTATGCTAATTATGAGAAAACTGCAACACACTGAGGTAATTTGGCCAGCTAGAAGTGGCACAGCCAAGGTCTTAATCTCAAGCAGTCTAGTTCCAGTCTGTGTTCTTAACCATGAATCCATTCTGCTGCTTCTCAAGGATGTTAGAATTGAATGTGATAACATATCTAAGATGCCAACATGATACTTTATTGTTAAGTATTCCACAATAGGTATTATCACCATTACTCATTATTAAGAAAGTTTCTGTTGGGCATTATCAGCAACCAAATGCATTAGATGAGAGTAGCCTGCTTCATGATGGGCAAAAAAAGGCTACCTTCTACCGACAGGGCTTCCATGTCAGAAGGTAGCTTCCCACCATCTCCCCACCATCCTGGCAACCTTGACCTAATGACTAGAACCTGGGCTCTGGGTACAGGCCTGACTTACTCTTCCAGACGGGCAAACTGCTCCAGGTTTCTGAGCCTCTGCTTCTGGTGCATGCAGGCATGTAGTGTCAGCGGCATGATATCCAGGACTTTGAGGAGCCCAGAGAGGCGTTTGATGCAGGAGATACTGTTGGCAAACACTAAGGTGCGGCCTGGATACTGCATCAGGAAGTAATACAGATATAAGTCTTTCTCATCAGTCTCACAATGAATCTTGGTCTCTGTCAGTGTCTCCACTGTGGCCTCATTTCTGGTGAGGTCAATGACCTTGGGCTTGCCCCTCATGCCAATCTTCTGCACGAGGAGGTCAAGTTTGGCAGTTTTGTCAATTTTCTTAGTGTGCTTCTTGTGAAGGATTCGAGCAGGAGCTTGATGTACCAGGGTCAGTGTGGCAGAAAAAATAAGCGTCTGTCTCTTTGGGTTGTACTGGGAGTCACTGAGCATCTCTAGCAGCTGTGAGAGCTCAGCAAAGTGGCCTTTCTCAACCATCCGATCAGCCTCATCGACCACCAGGCACCTGCAGATCCAGAGAGACCCACATAACCTGAGAAGTCATTTATATAGCACACTCAACTACCATTTCCAACCTCAACACAGACATACACACACCACCACCACCACCACCACCACCACCACCACCACCACCACCACCA